AATCGCCTCTGGGCAGGCGGCTGGGCAGCTCCCACAGCAGGTGGGGGCAGTGGCAAGCAGACACGTCCCCAAGGATGTCGCTCTGGTCTGAGCCAGGCACAGCACCCACGTCCACTCGTGTCACCCCTGCTCCCCGCTGCGTCCCAGGAACCCCCAAACAGAAACCCGACCAGACCACTCTGCTAAAAAGGCTGGCAGAGTGGTGGAAAGGGAGGTGGGCGGGGGGTGGGGTGACTGGGTGATGGGCACTGAGGGGGGCACTTGACGGGATGGGCACTGGGTGTTATGCTATATGTTGGCAATTTGAACTCCAATAAAATATAACTTAAAAAATAAAAATAAATAAAAAGGCTGGCAGGGCCTCGACACGGCTTTCCAAAGAAACAGAAGATGCTCCACGTGTCCTGCAGCCCTCACCTGCCCTTTCTGGCTCGCCCACCCCCCCGGGCTGAGCCTGACCCCAGGCCCCGAAGGCTGCCCTGGGCCTCATCCGTCCAGCCTGGAGCACACGGGCCTCAGGAAGCCGCCCTGAGCCCTCGGCCCGCCCCGTCCCCTTCACGCACCTCTGAAGGTCACAGGCTCCCCGGCACAGGCCAGCGTCCCCCCACAGACAGTAAGTTCCTAGAGGGCAGGGGGTCTCGTTCCCACTGGGCCCCCAGCCCCTAGCCCGAGGCCTGGCACCCAAGGTGGGTCACAGAGCTTCCCAGAGAAGGCGGCACAACCAGGACAAGTGCCGAGTCGTCACAGCTGTCTGCCCAGCCTGTCCCCTGCGCCCCCACCAGGTCCGCAGCTGGGGCCAGACTCCAGCCCTCACAGTCCCTGGGGCCTGTGGAGGCAGGTCCCATACCTGGCACCTGCTGGGGCAGCAAGAAACAGTCCCTAGGCCTGCCCCGAGCAGGTGCAAGGCCTGGCCTGAGGCCAGGATGTGTCCCCTCAGCGTGCGGCGCCTGCCCAATTCCTGCTGCCCTGGCCCGGGCCATTCCCCCCCCCCCCCCCCGGGCTGCTTCAGGTCAGGGCCAGCCGCCCTGGAGGGAGGACAGCAGACCAGATCCTGGGGAGGGGACCCGAGGACCGACAGGGCAGATGTGGGAGTGTCGCCTGTGAGGAATCAGGCGTCCGTGGGATGCCCGCTGGACGCTGGACGCGGCCCTGGAAGCCCGGAGGACACCCCGAGTATGCAGTGATGGGAGGCTGAGCCCCGCCCGGCGACCCGAGGCCTAGGGAAAGGGGGTCCAGACCCAGGAGGCTGCGGGGGGGGGGGGGGTGGGGGGGGCTCGCTCCTCAGAGGCAGAAAACCGCACTCCCCGCCCCCAACTGCCCCGGAGCCAAGAGGACCCCCCCCCCCGCCTCCCTCCCCCTCCCAGCCCCCACCCAGCAGCACCTGTCGGCCGCGGCAGGTGGGGGCACCAGCAGGTGAGCCAACAAGGTGAGGAGGCCCAGGGAGATGGGGCAGGAGGACGGACGTCCCCGCGGCGGGAGGGGCCCGGCGGGTACAGCGCTCGCTCGGCTGCGGGGGCGCAGGGCAGCAGGGGCGGGGCCTGTGGGGGGAGGGGCGGGGAGGCCGAGCAGGGGCGGGGGGTGGGGGGGGACCTAGAGGAGGCAGGGGAGGGGCCGGAGGCAAGGAGACGGGCCGGGGGCAGGGGAGGGGCCAGGGGCGGAGGTCGGCGCGGGGCCCTGGTACGGGGGCGGGGGCCGACCGGGGTCAGGGAGGCCCCGGGATGGGGGGCGGGGGGCGGGGCCGAGCTGCGGTGGAGGGAGGGGCGGCCGGCAGCGGGACCCAGAGCGGGGCGGACGGCCCGGAGCGGGAGGGGGAGCCGCGGCTCGGGCGGGCGCACAGGGCTCCCGCGGGCACACCTGGGCACACCTGGGCACACCTGGGCACACCTGGGCACACCTGGGCCCGGGCCCTTCGGTGCGCAGCAGGTCGCCAGGGCGCCGGGCCCTGAGGGCGGGGACAAGCCCCCCCCCCCCCCCCCCCCCGCGGCAGCACGGGAGCTCCCCGCAGAGCTCAGGCGACCGAGGAGCCGGGAACCCGCCAAACCTCACTTCCCGGGTCAGGGTGCCTTGTCCTGTCCTGCCGGCGGCCCAGCACCCGGGAGGGGACACGAGGTACATGTCACCCACACTGACAGGCCACCGAACAAGGCCATTCTGCACAGGGCAGTGGGCCCTGGACGCCTGCAGGGAAACCCAGGCCGTTGCTCCCCCCTGGCCAACAAGTGGTCATTTGGGGCCCTGGGGGTTGAGGCCGCAGGGGAGGAAGCTGGAGGAAGGGAGGAAGCTGGTGCCCGTAGGGGCACAACCCCAAGCACCGGGGTGAGGGGGGAGGGGGGGCAGAGACCCCCCCCCCAGCTGCTCCTCTGCAGACAAAGCCCACTGCCCCAGCCACCACTCCAAGGCCAGGACCTGGGCACGCACACTAACCCTACTTCCCTACTTCCCCACCACTGCCCCCTCCTCCCCAAACACAGCCACTCCCTCCTCACGCTGTACCCCTCAAGGTCCCGAGTGCCACCCACCGCAAAGGAGCAGGGGTCACACGCGTGATGTCTCCCTCTTCCCCCCACCAGCCCCAGACGTCCTAGACCCCCCATGCACCCCTGAGCAGACCTCAAGGGTTCTGCAACATGTGTTGGTTCCCCCACGTTGCTGGAATGAATTTCTGCAGCCCGGAAGGGGGGGGGGGCAGGAAGTGGACCCAGTCTGGCCGATATTTACTAGGCTCCTCCTGGGGGCTGGGGAGGGGGATGAGACTCTGTCCCTAAACTCCTTCTGCGGGAGCTGAGCACAGCAGCAGGCGCCCCTCCTGCGGAAGGGCAGGACCCTGTACTTCAACTGTCCTGTCAGGGCGCTCCTGGGTGCTCTCAGGCCGGGCCAGCCTGGTGCCACAGGGTCCCCAAAGCACATGGTCACATCCCAGAGCTCCGCACACCAGGGCAGTGCAAGACTGCTGCAGAAACCTCCCTTTGGAGGGGCTGAGGCTCGGGGGCTGGGACTTGACCCCCCATCTCAGCGCCCCCCGGCAGGACCGGCTCTCTCCCACTGCACTGACACAGACGGCCTCAGTCACCGTCCATCACCCATCACCCATCACCCGGGCCTCCTACAGCCTCCTCAGGGCCTCCAGCTGACGCCTGCAAGGCCTCTGCTTACCCCAAACCAGATCCTGAGGAATATGGGGCTGTGGGCATGTGACTGCACCACGGGGTAGCAGGGAGGCTGCGGAGCAGCAGAGGAGGACCCGCTTGGCACGTATGGCTCCCACCTTCCCCCCTGGCGTCCAGGCCAATCTGCAGACTGCACCCCAGGCCCCCCACCACATGTGTGTCTGCGCCCATCCCGTCCGTCTGCCCACATCGCCACCACCAGTAGTGACGGACGCCTGGACTTGGACGGGAACGTTCTAAGGAAGCCAAGAGAACTGGGAAGTGGCAGGAGACTCTGCATATGTGCTTTCCCAGCGGGTTTCCACCTGCCTGGCAGCTCTGCAGGTAGGGAAACCGAGGCTCAGTGTGCCTTGCCCAGTGAGCCAGCAGCAGCCACCCCCCGAGGTGCACGGCCTCCGGACAGGCTCCCTGCCTGGAGGATACAGGGGCTCGTCTTATCCTGGCAGAGCTCCTTGTGCCCGAGGCACCTTCACAGACTCCAGCCTCTCCCTTAATGGTCTAGAAGGAATGACCAGAAACTGTATAAAAACTGCCCCCCCCCCCAGAAAAACCAACAGTGCGGCCTTTCATTGAACCAGCTGAACCCCTGGTACACCAGAACCCAGCCAGAGCAGCCCTGGCCCTGGGCCTGCCTGGCCAGGTCGGCTCAGGCTCCCCGCACCTGGAGCCCACCTGGCTGCGGGCCAGCACCTCCCAGTCCGGGAGGGGAGGCTGTCCTGCTGGGGGCTCCCCTCATCAGCCGCGATGGAGGGGTACAGTGGCACCCCCGAAGGACAGCCAGCGAGGCTACAGGCCACCGACAAGAGGCAAGCAAGCAGGGGGTGTGCTGCAGAACCCTCCAGAACAGAAGCCCCGTCCCCTCCCTCAGGCCCTCTTCCCCATTTTCTCAGCCTCACCTCAGACTTGGCCTACACCCCTATCTCCCTCCCTCCTCCCACCTCCACAGCTCCCTTCCCCCATCCCCTCCTCCTCAGCCTCCAGCACATGTTGGCCTCTGTGGGCCCCCGAAATGCTCCTCCAGCGAGAGTCTACCGTGTGCATCCACGGCCCCTCTGACCGTGTGCGCCCCTGGCATCACCATCCTGGTCCCCTCACCTCTCCCTTCTTCTTCCCAGCTCTTGCCCTGTGCAGCCTCCCCTCCTCCCCTCATCTCCCCCATCCCCTCTTATCTGCCACGTTGTCTCCACACGTGAGCTGCCCCCCCCCATCCTCCTGCCACAAAGCTGCTGCTGCTGGGGGCGGAAACCAGGCCCTCCCTGAGGTCCCTCCAAGCCCCAGTGGGCCGGGCGGAGCTCCACTGCCCGGACGGGCTCGGGGAGCCCCACAGCGCAAAGACCTCAGTCCCCGGCTTGCGAGGAGCCCCTGGGAGCGGCCCGCTGGCCCACCCGGAAGGCAGTGACAAAGTTCAGCTGCCGGCAGCCCGGTCAGGTCCCAGCAGGGCGGGGGCAGCAGGGACCGGAGCCCTGCTCGACCTTGGCAAACCCGTTTTCCTACCCGGGAGAGGCCCACCATGAGCACGAGAGTCCGTCCCCGGGTGCCGCAGGCTGGGAGGGGGCTGTGCTCGCGCCCCCGAGGTCCGGTCCCGCACACTGGAGCGCACCCGGGCCCGCGCCCACTTTCGCCCCCCAACCCCCAACCGCGGGCGGGAGGCGCGGCGCCAGGAGCGCCGACCTGGGCGCCCCCGCGGCTGACTCGGGGCAGCTCCCGGCCGCGCGGCCCCGGGTCCGCAGCCCGCAGCCCCGCCGCGCCCTCGGCGCCGGGTGACCTTGAGCGGCCCCGAGCCCCGCGCACCCCGCGCGCCGCGTCCCGGGTGGGCGCGCCCCGGGCACTCACCGTCCTCCAGAGGCGCGGGCGCTTGGCGGGCGCCAGGGTGGCGGTGACGAGCAGGTGCGAGGCGGCCACCGCGAGCCCGAAGCCGACGGCCAGCAGGCTGCGCACGGGCAGCAGGGCGTAGGACACGAAGGTGACCAGCAGCAGCTGCCACACGCCCTGCTCGGCGGCCGCCGCGCCCGCAGCCGCGCCGGCCGGGGTCCCCGCGGGGCGGCCGAGCGCCAAGGGGCAGCAGAGCAGCGCGAAGGTGAGGCTGAAGAGCAGCGCCAGCTGGCCCACCTGCCGCAGCTGCGGGCCGCGCAGCGAGCGCACGTTGGTGACCACGAGCAGCGCCAGGAAGAGCGCGCAGTGCGCGGGGGGCGAGCCCCGGGCCAGGCCGCCCGCGGGCCCCGGCGCGCCCAGCAGCTCGGCCAGCGCCCGCGCGCCCGCCAGCGCGCTCAGCACCGCCAGCGCCTTCAGCGTGGCCGCCTGCTCCAGCCGCAGCGTGTAGCCGCCGAACAGCGCCTCCAGCTCGGGGCACGCGAACGCCTCGCCGCACGCCCGCAGCCCGCGCCGGCCGCCCGGCCCCGCCGCCCGCTCGGCGCCCCCGGGCTCGCCCGCGCCTCCACCGCCGCCTCCTCCGCCGCCGCCTCCGCCGCCGCCTCCGCCGCCGCCGCCTCCGCCGCCGCCTCGGCCGCGCGGCGCCCCCGCCATCTCAGCGCCATGCGGCGGGGCCGGGGCCGGGGCCGGGGCCGGGGCCGGGCGCGGGCGGGAGGCGCGGGGCGCGGCGGGCACACTCGGGGCGCAGGCTGCCCCGCGCGCGCGCGCCCCGAGCGCGTCCCCTCCCGCCGCCGCGCCTGCGCACTGCGCCGCCCGCCCCGGCCCCCGCCCCCTCCCCCTCCCCCCGCCCCCCGCCCCCCTCCCCCCGCCGGCGCGCGCCGCCCCCCGCAGCGCGGAGCACCCCGCGGGCGCGACGACGGGGCCCACCCTCCGACCGGCAGGAGCGCGGGAGGCCTCCGGGCTGCAGGACCCACCGGCGGCCCAGGACGGACCAGAGTCCCGGGAGGAGGGGCCCGCGGCCCGCCCTGCACCTGGAGCCCCGGGACGGGGGCGCCGCGCGGTCTGGGTGTCCACGGGCCGCCCCTGGGCTCACACCCGGGAGGGGCCGAGCGGCCGCCCCGCGCCCCGAGGAGGGGGGTGGCCCCGGCAAGGCCGCAGACCCGCCGCCCCCTCCCCACGCGCAGGCGGGACTGAGGGTCCCCAGGTCCCGGGAGGCAGCAGCAGGGCCCTCCGGGGTCCTTCGGGCCCCAGGACGCACCCGAGCCCCCCAGGCCGGTCCGTCTCGCAGGCACCAGGGCATTGCGGCCGCCGCTGTCCCCCTCCCCGGAGGCCCCCCCCTCCCCCGTGGGCTCCAGGTCTAGACTGTGGGGAACCGCATCATTTGGGCCACCTCAGGGGGCCGCTTCCCACGCGGCACAACACGGGCGACACACGCCAGCCCCGGTGGCTTAGACGCGGCACCTCACCGGCTGCCTGGCCAGGAGCACCCGCTGTGCCATCCCCAGCAGCCCACGACACCTCCTCCTGCACAGGCCTCCCCAGCGCAGCCCTCCTGGCTCCACGGCTCCGTGACAGGCTCCGTGACCGCGTCCCCACCGCAGTTCCCTGTCCCCAGGGCCCAGGGCTCTATCTGGCAGACCCTGGGGCAGGGGGACTGGAATTTCCCGGCCCTCCCTGTTTTCAGAAGACAGGACGACGAGTTCCTCACCAGTGCCCACCTGTGCCCACCGGTAGCAAAGTCCACACGGGCTCCCAAGCATGGAGGACCAAGCGTGGGTTCTCCGGCTAAATGTATATTTTTACGTCCTAATGATATTATGGAAGGAAAGCTGAGTAATGTCCAAAAATCTGGCAAGCCACCCAAGAACGAAGGAATGACCAATGCCCTGGGACCCAGGTCACAGCACCCTCATGAGCAGGAGCTGCGTCCATCTCCTTCACAGAGACACAGACACGGAGGCACCAGGCCCCCGTGGGAGCCCGCAACGGCACCCGGGTGGGGGACGGGGTGGGTGCCGTGGGCCAGGGGCTGCAGGTGCGCTCATCCTCTCTGGTCCCGTCCGCTGGGCAGTCTGCAGCCAGGGAGGAGGACGGGCACGCTGTCTGAGACACACCGCGGGGCCCACACCCCGTGCTCCTGCGGATGTCATCAGTTAAATCGTGTCTCCCCTCCTCCAAAATCCACCTGCTGAGCTCCTGACCCCGAGTAGCTCAGAACATGACCCTCTCTGGGACTAAGGTCATGCAGACGACCTTGAGATGAGGCCACCCTGGGATAGAGTGGGTCCTAATCCAACAGGACTGGTGTCCTTCCACAAAGGGGACATCGGGAGACAGACACGCACACGCTCAGAGAAAGAAGGCGGTGACTTGCGGCAAACAGAGGAGCCACGGGAAGGCGGGAGGTTCCTCCCCCCGGGAACTCGGCCCTGAGACCCCCATCCCAGCCTTCCGGCCCCCACGGCTATGGGAACAGGCGTCCACACCCCTGCTCTCGGGGCTGCGTGAGGGCGACCCTGGCCACGAGCACCCCCAGCGCGGTCGGCCCTGGATACCGTTGTCCACGACGGATCGTCAATATTGACCAACAGCAGAGTGGCTGCTGCACAGACGGGGACGAGACACTCTGCTCTTCCTGGAGGCACCTCGTCCCTCCCCGTGGGAGGTGAGCAGAGGGACAGGAGCCATCGTGGTCATCCTGTGTCCCCCAGTCCCGGAGCACGCCACCGGGCATCGCCAGCGCCTCGTTAGAGACGGGAACGCGGGCCTCCTGGAGCAGGAGCGCAGCCGGGCGTCCCTCGGACCCGTCATCGGTCACAAATCTCGGTCTTTGCCTTTGAGGCTCACCGCGGCTGAGGGCTTGTCCGACCCAGAAACCCCGGAACTCTGCGGGACGGCAGTGGGCGTCGTGCGGCAGGGCTGCGGCCTCCCCAGCGGCGTGTGGTGTCCAGGCCAAGAGCGCAGACGTGTGCCTCCTCCCCCAGCTGCGTGACTCTGTGCAGGTTACTCACCCTCTCCGTGCCCCATCTCCTCGGCGATTCGGGGATGTAAAAGCTCCCGGCCCGCGGGGTTACCCCCAGTGCACGCAGAGGCTGCACGGAGCACCCACGAGCGCCAGCTGCTCAGTGTTCTGGGCGCGCAGGACCCTGTGACCGCCAGGCCCTGCACACGGTGGCCATAGCAGCCAGGGAGGTCGCCGTAAGCCGGCTTCTGTCTGGGGCGCTCGCCAAATTCCTGGGGCCTCTGCCAGAGACTCGGCCTCCCGGCGAGTGTTCCTCCTGGGGTGGATCTGGGAATGAAGTTTCCCCGTGGGTCTTTTGGAAACCCCGTGGAAATGCAGGCCGCTAGGGGACCAGGCGGATGGTCCTCACCAGGGAAGTGGCTCAGGAATGCTCATTTTGCCAAGACTGAGTCCAGGAATCAAAGGGCCCCGCCACGGGCTCCGTTAGCCGTAGAAACCCGGACACGGGGCTCAGCCTCCCCCTGTCCCTGGTGGCTGGACAGGCACCTTCCCGGATACGTCCCGGTGGCTGGTTGCCGGAGGCGAGGGAGCCCAGGAACGCAGTGTGGACGGAGACTGGAAACGGCCACAGGGATCCGACAGGGACTCCTCCAGCAGGAATGGGCCAGGACTCCATCCAGAAGCTGGAGGCGGCCAGGACGGACCGAGGACCACGCCGGGCGGCCACTGGCCACACACCCCCCACCCACGGCAGGACGCTGACCCATCTGGCTGAGGCCCCCCGGGGCGCAGGCGGCCAACAAGGAGAGCGAGCGGGTCCTCCAGCCAAACCAGGGGCCACAGCTGGACGGGCAGGTGGGTGGCCGCCGAGCCACACGGCAGAGCGGCAGGACAGGACCCACTAATGTCCCCCTTCACCCATCGCTGTCCCCATACCTCAATGACCAGGAGGACCACCTGGGGCCTCACAGCTGGCTCTGCCCCTTCCCTGCATGGGGCCCTGGGCTCGCAGGGTCCCAGGGACTTGGCATCCTTGCCGCTGTGCCCGGGGGTCAGGCCAGCCCAGAGTGCCAGGCTCCAGACGACGTCAGACTGCATGCCTGGTCTGTAGGGACACCCGGCCGGCGGGAGGAGTTGGTGTCATGGTCACGGGGGCTTGCTGCTTGTCACTAGGCTTCGGCCCTAAGCAGAACAGGACTGCTGGCCGGTGGGAGCGGCCGGGGCCAGCCCAGTGACCCCACAAATAAATACGTATGTGCTCAAAACTGTGGCCAGGGCTCCCACAGAAAGCAGCCACAGCGCGTGACCTCTGGCCAGCCCTGGGGGAGCAGAGTGCGGCCCGGCTGTGCCATCGTGACCGTGCCCGGGCCCCCAGCAGGGTGGGCAACCGGAGGCGGTGGATGGAACTGGTACCCTGAGCTCTGGAGGACCAGAACTGTGGTGCCCAGACAACAAGTGGACACTGGCCCCTGGCCGGGCAGAAGGGTCTCACTGAGCCCAGGACTGAGGCCGCGGTGGAGGTCGTTAAGGCAGGGTGGGAGGTTCCTGAGGACCCCAGGACGTTGGACAGCAGCCGCAGGCGAGGGGACAGTCTACTGGCCCCCGGAGGAGGTGGGGTGGACGCTCTAGGTGAGAGGCGGCCCCTTCGAGCCCATCCACGCCCACTCAGGAGTTTGAAGGGAGAGCCCTCCTCCCAAGATGTGACCTCCCCTCCCTCGAGAGGCCAAAGTGTGTCCCCTCTGGCTCCTCTAGACTGCAGCTGCTTTCTACTAAACCCAAAAGATGCCACATCCCGGGCAGGCACTTTCCCAAAGAGGACGGGACCCCCAGCCTGGCAGTGGACATGAGGGGACGCGTGTCCTCCGCACGCAGTGGCTCCGCCTGTGCCAGGCTCCCAGGGCACGGGTGGGTTTTCACTTATTCCTGCTGATCCCAGGGAAGACAAAGGATGTGACAGCTGGCGCCACTATTCGCCACGTGTGCCTTGGACCTGAGTGTGGCTTCAAGGGGCAGCGGTCCTCGGGCGCTGTGCCCCGGGTGCCGGGAGGTACGGGGCGGGGGTGGGGGCGGTCGGGGGAGTCGGTCTTGCCCTGAGCATCGTCCCAGAGCACAGGTAGGACACGGAGGCAGCTCGGACGCAGCTCCAGCATCCGGTGGTTGACGTAGAACCAGTGGCCACGGTCCTCTCAGGAAGGACAGTGCGTGGTCCTCCTGGGAATCGGCTGGGCCGGGGGCCCCCCCTGAAAGCCTGCTCTGTCCCCAGGCCAGGCCAGGGCAGCGAACTGGAAACTAATCGTCAAGGGTCAGGAACAAGGCCGAG